GTCTTTTTTTTTTTTTTGTATAGTCACGTGATTCACAAACATTTAACATAATATTGCTACAGTATTACTTCACATTACAACATTACTTAAAGGAGAAGTTCACTTCCAGAATGAAAATGCAGTCATCATTTACTCAACCTCCACTTGTCCCAAACCTGTATTCTTTCTTCTGTTGAACACAAAAGAAGATATTTTGAAAAATGTTGGTATCCGAATAGTTGATGGGTACCATTGACTTCCAAAGTATTTTTTTTTCTCCTTCTATGGAAGTCAATGGCGCCCATCAACTGTTCGGATACCAACATTTTTCAAAATATCTTCTTTTGTGTTCAACAGAAGAAAGAAACTCATACAGGTTTTGAACAATTGAAGGGTGAGTAAATGATGACTGAATTTGTTTTATTCTGGAAGTGATCTACACCGTTAATATCACACATAATCAGAGCTGTTGTCAGTGCAATAATAATTATATTTTTGCCATTATACAGAGCCTATAGACAACTTCCATGTTGCAGAGAAATCTGTAGATTTAAAACTTCAGTTTTTAAAAAGTTAAAAACTCAACTTGAGGGAATCGTTTCACACTGACAAATGGCTGATTGTTGTTTTATACATAAATATATTTGTGTCCAGTCTCTTTTAATTTGGGTAATTTATTTAGTCCATGCCTTAATGAGGAGGCTTTCAGTCAAATAATAAAAATACATAAATGTAAGATTCAAGTGATTCAAAACTTTTATTGTCCCCCAACATAACAGAACAAAAATCTCCACAATTCGTGTGATATTTTACATTTACATTTAGCAGACGCTTTTATCCAAAGCGACTTACAATTGAGGAACACAACAAGCGATTCATCATAAAGAGGCATCTAAACACAAGTGCTCGTAATATACAGTTTCAGTTGTTCAGATTTTACAGCAATTCAAGTTTATTGTAACTAACACATTTACTTTATCTGAATCTCATATTATTTAATTAAAACACAGGATCTCACAGTGCCACAGAATAATGCTTATATAGGTAAAATGCTTATATGTGGCCACAACACTCATATTTTATTGACTTTTCTATATCAATTTGTATTCTTCAATGCCACCTATTTCTTTGCCAGGTGCAGTGTTTTGTTTTTCTTTATGTTGTTTTGCGCCATTCTCAATTTTAATTGTATGCAATTACTTTGAATATTTGAATGTATAAATATTCGACATGTCTACAAAGCACCTGACAACTAACTAAGTGAGTGAAGTGATGTGACAACTAACCAAGTGAGTGAAGAACTAAGTGAGTGAAGTGATGTTACATGTGGCCAAGTATGGTGACCCATACTCGGAATTAGTGCATTTAACCCATCCAAAGTGCACACACACAGCAGTGAACACGCACACACCGTGAACACACACCCGGAGCAGTGGGCAGCCATTTATGCTGCGGTGCCCGGGGAGCTGTTGGGGGTTCGGTGCCTTGCTCAAGGCAGTGGTATTGAAGGTGGGAGAGAGCGCTGTACATTCACCCCCCCCACCTACAACCCCTGCCGGTACGAGCCTCGAACCCGCAACCTTTGGGTTACGAGTCCAACTCTCTAACCATTTGGCCACAACTTCCCCACTAACTGGATGGACTTGATGGAAAATGCTTTTTCATATGATTCACTAAAGAGTTTGAATGTCTAAAACTCTCTCCACACTGAGTACAGCTGTACGGCTTCTCTCCGGTATGAATTCGTTCATGTGATTTCTGTTGTGAAGACAGAGTGAAACTCTTGTCGCAATATGAGCACTTGTAGGGTTTTTCTCCAGTATGAATTTTTTGGTGGCATTTCAGTTGGCCAAGTGTAGTAAAGCCCTTCCCACACTCACAACACAAGTGATCTTTCTCACCAGTGTGGATTTTCTGGTGCAGATTACAACTGACCAACACTGAAAAACTCTTCCCACAGTAAGGACACACATAAGGCCTCTCATTTGTATGGACTTTCAGGTGTTTTTTTAGATTTGATGATGAATTAAACTCTTTACCACACTGATCACAGTTAAATGGCTTTTCTCCAGAGTGAACGCGCATGTGATCATTGAGAATAGTTGAATATTTGAAATGCTCTCCACACTGAGTACATTGGTACGGCTTCTCTCCAGTATGAACACGCTCGTGAGATTTCAGGTTTCCAGGCTGAGTGAAACTCTTGTCACAATAGGAGCACTTGTAAGGTCTTTCTCCAGTGTGAATTATTTGATGCTGTTTCAACTGGCCGGCTGTAGTAAAGCTCTTCCCACACTCACAACACACATGATCTCTCACTTCATCATGTGTTTTCTGATGCTGTTTACAACAGTCCAGCCGAGAGAAACTCTTTCCACAGACAGAACACGCGTAAGGCTTCTCATCTGAATGAACTTTCAGGTGAAGATTTAGATTTGATAACGAAGTATACTTTTTACCACATTGATCACAGTTAAATGGCTTTTCTCCAGAGTGGCGCCACAGATGATTACTGAGACCTAATTTAAGTCTGAAACTCTTTCCACACTGTGAGCACATGTGCCGCTTTTTGGATTTTCTTCGGGTTTTGAAGTTACAATGTTCCTCCTCCTCGTTTAGTTCTTGTCTTTGCTCTTTCACTTCCATCCGATCTAAAATAAACATACTAAATAGTTAAAATCAGTTCAAGTGAACATGATTTAAGAGCAGAAAGCAACAGTATATGCCAAAGGTTAGTTCTGTCATTTTCTTGATAATACAATCAAAATGTGGATAACAACTGCGATACAAGGTTATGATGCATTTTCGGTTTCATTTATCATTCATATATTTCTTATTATTTCACCAACATTAAATCTGGTGAACTGAAGCTTTCTCAGCAGGCAATAATAAAGACTCAAGAATGGACACCAACCTGTTTCTTCCTCAGTTTCTTCATAATTGTTTCTGGATGTTTCTGGATCACTCATGTCATCAATCTCTACTTTAACAAGCTCAGTCTTTACCATAGTATGACACAGATGTGGAGTTTCTCTTCTTATAGGATGATGGGAATATTGCTAACCTTCATTGGTGGTCTGTTGTGAAATGAGCACCAGATCTGCCAAATTCAAGAAGAACTCATATTGAATTACTTTAATTACATGTGTGTTTTCCGACATATAGAGTATTTTAATATGGTTGTGTGTTAGCAAAACCGGTCCATTAGAAGGTTGTTCATTTTTATGTAACCAAGGATTTTATATTCTTAAAGGAACATACAAATTAATCAGAAATCTAACATAGATAACAGAGATCTACATTTACATTACATTTATGCTTTAGCAGTCAGGAACATAAGAAATTTGTCACAAAGCCAACAATATTAGTAGTGTACAAGACCTATTAAAAAAAACTAGTCTAAGAAACAAGCGTAAGCAGAGGTTAAATTATGCAAAGAAGAGGCTTTTTTAGAGATCCACTTTATACAAAATATGAACAGACTGAATGGAGGTTGATCAAAATGAATGATTATTCGATGTAGTGAGCAATGTAGCTACTCTAGTAGTTTACAGTACGGACAAAGATCAATTCTTACATTAGAAAATAAACAATATTTTGAATAGCATTAAGCCATGAAATGAAATCTTGATAACACAGCTGCACTCACTCAGAGCCTGTACTCGCTGCCAACACAATACACTGCAATTAATAACAAACCGGGACACATAATGAGTTTCATTACATTCGTATTTCAACTCTGGAGCTGGTTAATGTCCCTAACCTCTGTAACGTTAAATCGGCATCGAATCTAACATCCGTCGAAAATATTCCACAATAGCCCTTCTTTCACTATGGTTAAAACCCTCACTTTTAGCTTTAGCCGGCGGGTTGCCAGGTGTGCGAAACAAAACCAGCCAATCCAGCCCAATAGTGCAACAGTTTGAAAGATTTCCTGTAAAACCGCGGACTTGGCAACCCTCTCCTCTGCGCATCCTGTTTGTTCTTTTGGATTTGCATGGCAAACTCGAAAACGCATTGCTGCCACCTATTGGACATTTCCGGTAACACACACACACATGCTGTATATACGTATAAAAAGATTGACTTTAAAATGACTGTTTTATAGGACATCACAACTAGGCTACTGCAAGTCTGCAAATTTTAGCAACCCACCCACTTATTTCACGCTTCAAAACCTAGTTATTGTATGTATGTATGTATGTATGTATGTACCAAGAGCTCCTAAAAAAACACAACAAATTCCTTGTGGGTTTGCACACACTTGGCGAATGAAGCTAATTCTGATTCTGATTATTGGTTTTCAAAATAAACGGTTTTTGTCATTGTGTGACACTCACTGGTCAAAATAATTAGATGTTTTTCACCAATGCGGTCAACCATGGAAATGTTAGTTATATACAATTGTTTTTCTGCTTTTTTGTTGGCACAGCTGTTTTACTACTATACAAGAATTACAGTTTTGTCTAGCTGAATGCTGTTGTGTATCACACTTTTTAGATACAGATTTCAACATCAGGTAAAAGTTAACTGAGATAAGTCAATACACAGAGAGAAGTCTTTAGTACACATAAAAATAATATGCACAATTGCATTGATACAGTACTTTTATTTTTGTATCAATGTTACAACAGAAAAGTCACATTTGCATGTCAATTTAAACACCAACACACTATACAAACATTTTCCTCATACTGCAAGAGAAATATAGAAAATGTAAAGATATAATAGCAATCACATTGTGTTATATTATCTTGGCATTAAAAAGTGCAGCCGAGTTCGGCATTTTATTTGGACTTTGCAGTAATACATAATATGTAAATTTATATTTATATATATATATGTGAGACAGTGGTAGGATATTGTGGTTAGTGGTAATTAATGCAGCTATGCTCAATATTCAGCTCACTTCTTCGCACAACACCACAATACTCCCCAAAATAAATCAAAATTCATGGAAAATGCAACAGTCACACACACACACACACACACACACAGAGAGATAATTACTCAGATATGTCAAATTAAGTAAATTTATTAAACATGTTAATGCAATAATGCAATCCCAAAAGCATTTTTTTCTTCACAGAAGTTAGTAAATTTAGTGACATTGTTATTGTAGAACACTTCTCAAATCTGATCATGATTTTCTGAATTTGAATTATTATTAGTATTATTGCCAGTAGGCTTTAATTTCAGAATTAGTTCACACAATAATGAAAACCTTTCTGTGAAACTCAAGAGGACATGACGAGCTAAAGTTGACACCTTTTGTCTTAATCATGAACCTTTAATAGTCTTGGTTTTATCGTACAGGATAGAGAAGAGTATACAAAAAATTTGAGCAAGTTTAAGAAATTTTGTTTGTCTTTTATTTCTGGTCTTTGAGAATTCCCCTCTGCTCTATGATCCTGACAGAACCTGATGCAACCCCAAATGCAGGGTAGAGGGGTTCAGTGAATGAGGTCTGGACTCTGTGTAGTAGAGTCATTGTGTCAGAGACGCTGTAGAAGCACAGAGTTCCTGCTTTGTGATCCAGATACACTCCTATTCTAGAGGAGGGGACATCACGAATAAGGACGTGCTCTTTATCATGTCTGAAATAGAAATTCTGTTGACAGTGGGTCACTCTCCATGACTTATTATTAAACCCCAGTCTGCAATCATCAGTTTTTCCTTTACGACTAATTCCTCTGTAGGAAACTGCTACAGACCAGTCGTCCCCACTGCACTCAACCTCCCAGTAACAGCGACTGTACAAACCCTCTCTACACAGGACATTCATATATTTATCAAATCGTTCTGGGTGATCAGGATATTGCTGGACTTTATCTGAATATGATGCTTTTCTGTTCCCTTCTGACAGGATGATTTTTTTTTGTGCAGTGTTTGGATCCAGTTGAAGTTGACAGAAATCTGATGAAAATGGAGGGACAAATAAATATTCAAATAAACTACTACCCACCACCCCTCCACTCAAAATGATAAATTTTAATATCAATGTTATTGATAACAATAAACATATACATTATTTGATATATTTTTTAAAGGGGTCATATGATGTTGCTAAAAAGAACATTATTTTGTGTATTTGGTGTAATGAAATGTGATTATTCTTTGCAACTTTACAGATCTTCTTTATGCACCAAGAGCTTGTAACACTCCAAAGAGAAAGGAAAAATTGAAATCGCATCATATGACCCCTTTAACAGATAATATAAATAGATATTAAATATAATTATTTTTCATCATTCAGCAATTGCTCGAAGAAACAAAGTATAAAAATAAAACAACTTACACTGCAAAAATTCATTTGGAGTTTTAGGTTCGGGAGATGCTGAAACATGGACGTTTGACACTAAAGCAGGGCAAGAAACACAATCAAATGTTTAATTTATAAATTAAATCTAAAATGTTATGAATGAAGCAACACATATTATTATTTATTTTAAATAATGATTAAAAAATTGAGACCTTCTCGAGATATTCTGGCTGTTTGCTGTTGACAGACGTCCTCCAAAACCTCTCTGAATGCTGAGATTGAAATGTCTTTGAAAGACAGATGAGTGTGTTGAGTGAAGCTGGGAACGTCTTCATATGAGGGTAAAACACACACAGACTGACAGCTCTGAAATGAGAAAAATAATTCTGACTTAGTTTGTGAAGCACAAAATATCTTTCCACACCATAAAATGAGCATTAAAGTGTTTCATTTCAATATTTTTGCATCGTTACCTTCAGACAGTGGATCTGATCATCAGTAATCAGAAGTTTCTCAATCTCTGCTTGTCTTTTTCTGAGTTCTGTCAGCTCTTGATGCAGATGTTTGTGAAGTTTCTCTGCTCGATCTATCTCCGTCTTCTCCTGATCTCTGATCTGCTCTTTAATCTCAGAGCGTTTCTTCTCCAGAGAGCAGATGAGCTCAGTGAAGACCTTCTCGATGTTCTCCACGGCCTCTTCTGCTGAACTCTGTTGGACAGGAACAACAGCCTAAATACTGTATTTATGTGACCAATATCAATTAATTTTGTCATAGTTCTCGTCCAAATCAAAACAGTCAAATGAACTAGCAAAATCAAAATGTCACCAGTTTATTATGCCTCTCTTTTATTACTATTTTGCCTCTTTTTTTAACTTGCATCTTGTGATACTCACTTTAAAAGACTTCACAGCTTCACTGATTTCCTGCTCACCTCTTACTCGGCCATTTCTTTGCAGATAGTTTATATAGCTCTAATAGAAACTGCTCTGCCAAAAGTAAATCATTGAAGAAAGAGAACGTAAATCCACATGTAAATCATTAATGAAAGAGCACGTCTACAAATCTAAAACATGCTTACACTTTTGTGTATTAAACAGTCATCTGAAAAGTGTTTCACCCATAACCAAAAGAATAAACATACATCATCCAGATTAACATATAATTAGGAGCACATACAATAATTACTGAATGCTCTTTTTTACCACAAGCAAAAAGACATAGGTAAAACCATTATTTATGTTTCTATGATGTTTTTACCTGTTTTGACAGAAAAGTCAAATATTCACTCCTTTACCCCGACTAGAACAGCAGAGGCTCATGTAGCAGGGATAGGTTTCGTTTCTTGTGAATCTACACGCTTCCTGGTTTTCAATGTGCAAATGTGTGCATTTCACGAGACAGAGAAAGAAAAGACCAAGAATGTGAAGGAGATTATAAACATGTTTGTGAGGCTGTGACTTTGCAGTTTTGTTGCTCCTCCCTCTGTACTGTGCTCAAAATCGCTCTCGGTTACGTAACCTCGGTTCCCTGAGATGAGGGAATGAGACACTGCTATGGGGACTACCCTTTTCTCCAAATACTACTGAAGCCTTATTGAATCACGCCAGTGAAACTGGCCAATAAGAGCAATGTCTCGTTCCCTCATCTCAGGGAACCGAGGTTACATTCCCTTTCGATTCGGTCACTCTACATTGCTATGGGAACGTATAAAATCCCGCCGTGTCACAGCGATGGAGCCTGGCTCGACTAAGTATGTAAAGTTTCACATACAGAATCGTAATGAGAGCGGCAATGATATTGGCGCTCTTGTTAAACACAGCTCAGGTCTACAGGACCTAGTCGAAACCATGTAAAAGTCAAGGGGGGTGCGGCAACTAGAAGATGCCGCGTCACACCAGGGGCGGAGTTAACGCCGGTGAAACAGAGAATGTGAAATGGCGGCGTCACGAGGGCCCACGAGGACGCGAGTCCGCGGGTTGAGTGGGCCCGAACCCCTATAGGCCATTTCACGCCCTTAGAGCCATAAGCCAAAGCATTTGCGTCGACGATCCAGAGTGACAGCCTTTGCTTGGACACAGGCAGGCCTTTTGTGTGCCCTCCAAAGCATACAAATAGCTGGTCCGAGAGCCTGAACTGTCTACAGCGCTCGGTATAAATGCGCACCGCACGTACAGGGCACACCAAAAGTGCATTAAGCGGCTCTGGCCCGGCCAGTGTTTCGGGATGGAAAGCAGATAGTGTTAAGACCTGCGCTTTAAATGGAGTCGAAAGCACTTTAGGCACATAACCCTTCCTAGGCTTTAAGTTGAGTCTGCAATCACCTGGCCCGAACTCAATACACGAGTCGTCAACTGACAGCGCCTGCAGGTCCCCAACTCGCTTAACAGAGGCCAGCGCGAGCAGGAGCGCTGTCTTGAGAGAGAGCGCACGCAAGCTCGCTGATTGTATGGGCTCGAACTGGCTTTTTTTTTTTGGGCTCTTGAAGAAAGGCAAGAATTATTGGTATTGGGTAGTTGAATGGGTCTTCACCCCCGCGACCCGCACCAATTTGTGAAAACTCTCCATTTATGTGCGTAGAGACGTCTAGTGGAAGGAGCCCTAGCCTCAGAGATAGTATTCAACACGCGCTGAGGAAGTGCATCTGTTACCAAACATTCTCTGTTTCAAGCTCTGTCGAGCGGCCAGACTGGGGCTACCAGCATCTCCACCAGTTCTGGAAACCATGGCTGATTGGGCCATTTCGGTGCCACTAACAGAACAGATTCCCTTTCCTCTCTGATTTTGCAAACCATGCGAGGCAGAAGTTTCACTGGAGGAAAAGCATACTTGCGTACTTTCGGCCAGCTGTGAGCTAGTGCATCCACTCCCAGGGGAGAGTGTTCTCCGCTGACGTGAAGAGATCCACCTCCGCCCTGCCGAATACACTCCAAATCATATTGACTGTCAGAGGGTGTAATCTCCACTCTCCGTGGATTACCCCGCCCTTCGACAATAAATCCACACCGTAATTCAGTCATCCGGGGACATGTACTGCCCGGATGGAGAGGAGGTGTCAATCTGCACACAGAAGAAGGTCTCTCGCCAGCCGCAGCAGCGGGCGCGAGCTCACACCCCCTTGGTGATTTATAAACGCTACCACTGTCATGCTGTCCGTCCTGATGAGAACGTGACGGTGGAGAATGTCCGGGAGAAAGCACTCGAGCGCTAGGTGTACAGCACGGACCTCCAGACAGTTTATGTGCCACAACTTCTAAGTTTCTGACCACGTCCTGAAGGCTGGTCTGCCGTCGCATACGGCTCCCCAGCCCGTGCTCAAATGCATCTGTTGTAACAGTCTTTCTCCTGATCACTTGGCCAGTAAGAACACCCCGGCAATACAGAGTCATTTCGCGGCAAGGGGTCACTGCATCCTAGCAGTCGCGCGTCACTTTGATGCGCAAGGTGCCCGTGCGCCATGCGCTCTGTGGCACCCGGCCCTTTAGCCAGAGCTGAAGCGGTTGCATATGTAGGAGCCCTAGTTTGCACACTGTCGAAGCGGCAGCCATCTGGCCAAGTGTCCTCTGAAAGCATTTCAGCGGGGGGGAGGGCCCTAACTTGAAGACTGCAAGAGAGCTGATCAGTTTTTGTGAGCCCTCCTCCGACAGACACGCTCGCATATTGATTGAATTCAGCTCCACTCCTAAAAAGGAGATGTTCTGGCTCGGTACCAGCATGCTCTTTTGCATATTCACAGTCAGCCCTAAGCTCTGAAGATGAGCGAGGAGTCTGAGCTTGTCGGTGAGCAGCGCGCTCTCTGATTGGGCTAAGACTAGCCAATCGTCGAGACAGTTCAGGATGTGCATTCCGCTCTGCTTCAGAGGAGAGAGAGCGGCATCCATGAATTTTGTAAACGTACGAGGGGCCAGGGATAAACCGAAGGGTAGGACCGTGAATTGGTGCGCTATCCCCTCGAATGTAAATCTCAGGAAACGCCTGTGGCGAGGGACTAGCTGAATGTCAAAATAAGCATCCTTTAAATCCACAGAGATAAACCAATCTCTCGGTCTGATGTGTGAGAGGATTTGTCTCAGCGTAATCATTTTGAACGAGCGCTTTGAAAGCGCGCGATTCAGTGGTCTCAGGTCCAAAGAGTCCACCGTCTTTGGTACCAGAAAATAGCGACTGTAGAAGCCGCTCTAGCGGAACGCGGCTTTGATTCCAGTGCCGGTGGCCTGCCATCTCTGTCAGGGCGGGGTCTCTGGCCCTTCGAGCCTTGATGGCGCTTCGGCCAAGGCTGTCTTGGTCTCACCGCCGGCTCATGTTCACGCCGAACAGCAGCAGAAGAGGAGTGCGGTCTTCCCGCGTGCTGCGCTGAGGAGGAGCAGGAACACGCAGAAGGGTTCGCGCCGGCGCGCTTTGGCAGGAAGTGGTTAATAGCCTTCGACTGTTTCTGCGCTTCAACGAAGCGCTCCATGAACGTCTCTACTGCTGCTCCGAAGAGACCTGAGGGATTCACAGGAGCATCCAGAAAGGCCGTTTTTTCCGAGTCCTTTAACTCGGTCAGAGTAAGCCACAGGTGACGATCTAGCATCACAAGATTCCCCATGTTGCGGCCGATTGTTCGAGCTGTCACCTTCGTCGCTCTGAGGGCCAGATCCGTGGCGCGTCAGAGCTCTTTGAACATTTCAGGGTCCGGCCCGTCCTCATCCAGAGACTTGAGCAGCTTGGCCTGATACACCTGGAGTATCGCCATCACGTGCATTGCTAAAGCTGCTTGGCCCGCTGCGGAGAAAGCCTTGCCGGCGAAGTTTGCAGTGGCGCGGCAAGGTTTAGAGGGGAGAGACGCGTTGTTTCTCACTCTCCAGTTCGCTGCGGCTGAAGGACAGAGATGGGCAGCGACGGCTTCTTCCACGGGGGGATTTTAAAATACACCACTTGGTCAGCGCCGTCCACAGAAGACAGGAGGGAGGATCCCAGGTTGTGCACTCGACTGGTGAGCGGCGCGTTCCACAACTTCGTTATCTCATCATGTCCTTTCGGCCGTGATCCGACTGGAGGTACCACTCGTCCAGACGGCTTCTGGCCGGCTCGGCAGGAGGCGCCCACTCCAAACCGAGCTCATCAACTGCCTTGGACAGGACCCTAAGGAGCTCGACATCACTATGATGGAGGTCCCCCGCGTCGCTGCCGTGGGGCGCAGTGTAATCCAGCGGGCTTGTTAGACCACTCCTCTCTCGCAGACGCTGCCACCGAAATGGCATCATCCTCCTCTTCAGCGCCCGAAGGAGAGGCAATCGCGAGTCATCCTTGTTTCCGAAGCTCATCGGAACACAGCAGGGGAAGAGAAGGCGTGTCCGCTGCAGCGTGTAGATCACAGTGAGTAGTCTTGCTGATAGGCTTCTTGCTTCTCGTAGAAGGTTGGCTGAAGAAAAAGATTCTGAATAGATGACGTACAAGCACTGCTTCATATAGAGTGGGAGCCCCTCATATTTCGCGCGCTTGAACGCCATTGGCCAGTTTCACTGATGTGATTCTATAAGGCTTCAGTAGTATTTGGAGGAAAGGGTAATTCCCATAGCAATGTAGAGTGACCGAATCGAAAGGGAACATAACATATCTCTCCATACCAATAATCAGACTAGTAAAGTAATGTGTCTAATAACAGATCAAACATGTTTCTTTGCTTTAACTGCTACAAACACATTTCAAGCCATCTGTGTGTACAATGATGAAATTATTGATGATTTCAGTTCAATAAACACCACCGTTGGCATCAAACTTATAAAGATTAAAAAGTGATGCTTCTTGGTCATAAGACGAGCAGATATTCATTCAGCTGCTGTGGAGAAAAAACAACAATCACAGACAATCTCACAGATTATGGATTCTTGAGACAAAATATTTCCCAAAACAGCCATATTTCCACTTTAAAATCTGATGATCATTCAAATGTTATTTAAACACAAATGCAATATTTCATTCTGTTTTATTTGATCAAGATTACATTAGTAACTACATGAATAAAATTTGAGAACAAAACTTTGAGGTTGTCTTGAGAAAGCCTAATCTGAAAGTTTGAAGAAGTTGTAAAAGCTTGAAGATAGATATCAATGTTTTTGAGAGGCCAAGCCACAGTCCAGACCTGAATCCAATTTATATTTTTGGGGAGAGAACCGAAAACCAGAGTGATGGCAAGGAAACCTTCCAACCTCAATGTCCTGGGGATCACTGCAAAAGAGTAGTGGTCCAAAATCCCAGTGGAAATGTGCAAAAAAAAATTTGTCACCAATCATAAAAACATACAAATGTTTGACAGCCGTGAATAAAAATAAAAGCTTTGCCACTGATTATTGACAAAGGTTTTGTCAAAAGGTTAAAAAAAAGAGCTAACATTCTTCGTTAATATCTCTAACACAATGTCTTACTTTTGTCACCTTTTTGTGTAATTTCCAGCCAGAAGATGCCTATGTGTCATAAAAAATTCACCATAATTAAAAATTTGGCCTGGGTATGAATAAGTTGGGGCTTAAATGTATATTTCTTTCTGGTCTGTCTGAACTCTTCTCTGTCTTATAATCCTGACAGACGAACCATGTAAAACCCCACATGCAGGGTAGAGGGGTTCAGTGAATGAGGTCGGGACTCTGTGTAGTAGAGTCATTGTGTCAGAGACGCGGTAGAAGCACAGAGTTCCTGCTCTGTGATCCAGATACACTCCTATTCTAGAGGAAGGGACAGCAATGATATAAACATGCTCATTATTATGTATGAAATTTACATTCTGCTGAGAGCGGGACAATCTCCAGGATATTTTGTTGAAGCCAAGTTTACAGTCACCACTGTTTCCTTTACGCCCAATTCCTTTGTAACAAACTGCTACAGCCCAGTCGTCCCCACAGCACTCAACCTCCCAGTAACAGCGACCGTACAAACCCTCTCTACACAAGATGTAGGGAAACCCATCAAATCGCTCTGGGTGATCAGGATATTGCTGGACTTCATTTGAATATGATGCTTTTCTGTTGTCTTCTGACAAGATGATTTTTTTGTGTGCAGTGTTTGGATCCAGTTTCAGTTGACAGAAATCTGAAGAAAATGGGGTGACAAATAAATATTCAAATAAATTACTGCCCACCACCCCATGCTCAAAGTATCACATTTTAATAACAAATGATTAAAATAGATAGATACATTTATTTTATACTTTTCAACACATAATAGAAATAGTTAATAGACATTATTAACTATCATTCAACAGTTGTGTGGAAACAATGTATAAAAATAAAACTCAACTTACACTGCAAAAATTCATTTGGAGTTTTAGGTTCTGGAGACTCTGAAACATGGACGTTTGACACTAAAGACGAGGCAAGAAACACAATCAAATGTTTAATTTACATACAATTTATATAACACCTTTTTAGACTAAAACAGCATTTAATAAGAAAAAAACCTTCTCGAGAAATTCTGGCTGTTTGCTGTTGACAGACGTCCTCCAAAACCTCTCTGAATGCTGAGATTGAAATGTCTTTAAAAGACAGATGAGTGTGTTGAGTGAAGCTGGGAACGTCTTCATATGAGGGTAAAACACACACAGACTGACAGCTCTGAAATCACAATAATAATTCAGCCTTAATTTGTGACACACAAGTGACTGTTTCCACTAAATAAAAGAAATAGAAAAGGCATAGAACAATGAATGCTGATCACCCTATTATCATGCATGATTATTAAAGGACTTTTATTACCTTCAGACAGTGGATCTGATCATCAGTAATCAGAAGTTTCTCAATCTCTGCTTGTCTTTTTCTGAGTTCTGTCAGCTCTTGATCCAGATGTTTGTGAAGTTTCTCTGCTCGATCTATCTCAGTCTTCTCCTGATCTCTGATCTGCTCTTTAATCTCAGAGCGTTTCTTCTCCAGAGAGCAGATGAGCTCAGTGAAGACCTTCTCGATGTTCTCCACGGCCTCTTCTGCTGAACTCTGTTGGAGACACAAAACTGTGATCATGCAGGTCATTGTTGTGACTCAATGTGGCACAACAGCCAAAATAATGCAATTTAACTGAGCAATTATTTTTCTGCAAATGGTCAACCCAGTCAAATAAAGTTGCTTCTGTTCTATACAATGGTGATTCTATAATCTATTCTATAATAAAAGTTGAAGACACATACTTTAAGAAGCTTCACAGCTTCTCTGATTTCCCGCTGGCCTCTGTCTCGCTCCTGGATCAGCTTTTGACACGCCTCCTTTATCATCTTTAACTCTTTCTGAGGATGTGAACATGCAGAAATGAAATTAAAAAATAAATAAACCGGTAAACAGAAATCCTTTTCAGCCTGGTAAAGGGTGTAACACAGTGAGTCGTAATTACAGCTTATAAATATATGCAATGTAATAATAATATTATTATTATTATTTTATTTTAAAAATATATTATTACTATTAAAGTATAGTCTGCATGTTTTTTTATAATTATTGTTGATATTACCTTTTTACTAGTCCATTCTGAATCCACAGACACCACATTGTGTCCTTTATGATTATCAGTACACATGCAACAAATGCACTGATCATCATCCTGACAGTAAATCTGCAGAGGTTTCCCATGACTGAGGCAGACGTTCTCCTGAATATTTCTGGAGGCTTCGACTAGTTTGTGCTTCATAAACGCAGGAGATTGATAGTGAAGCTGCAGGTGAGTTTGACAGAAGGAGGCCAAGCACTGCAGACAGGACTTTACAGCTCTCTTCTTCTCTGTAGTGCAAACATCACACTCCACAGCAGCCGTTTGTAGAGACGTCTTCTGCAGCGTCTCCATCATCTCTGCTATCAGAGTGTTCTTCTTCAGTAGAGGTCTCTGACTGAAGCTCTCTCTGCATTGGGGACAGCGGTACGGCGGCTCCTGCTCCTTCTGGCCCCAGCAGTCAGTAATGCAGCTCATACAGTAACTGTGTCCACAGGGAATCGTCACCGGCTCCTTCAGCCGATCCAAACAGACTGAACAGATGAACTGATCCTCATACTGACTCGCTGCAGACTCGGCCATTTCTTTGCAGATAGTTTATATAGCTCTAATAGAAACTGCTCTGCCAGAAGTAAATCATTGAAGAAAGAGAACGTAAATCCACATGTAAATCATTAATGAATAAGCACGTCTAAAAATCTACAAATTGCTTAAAGTTTTGTGTATAATTATAAAAGAATAATCCTTAACGCTTTACCCGTGATCAAAAGAATAAACATATGACATCGAGACTAACGTAGTATTATTATTAAACATGCAGGCCTACGGTAGAAGACTAATTTCATGCATTTTTTTCAAGGCAAGGAAAAAAACATAGGTAAAATCATTATTTAACGTTTATGTTCTTACCTGTTTTTGATTATCTTACCTGTTTTTACAAAATAAAAAGTCAAATTCCCTACTTAAAGCTTTAAGCGAACAAGAAGAGCGTGGATCCAGAGGCTCCTGTAGCAGGGAAATTGGTTTCGTTTCTCTTGAATCCACACACTTCCTGTTTTGCTCAGAATTATACTATATCTCTTGACACCAACTGCAGTAGCCAAAGAACGCAAAACTCACTACGAAACAGCGGAATGGAGCATTCAACCACTTATCAAAGTTACAAAAAATTTCATTTAAAAAAGCAAGAAAAGGGTTGATTTGGCATTAAACGACAACTTACTGTAATCAAACCTATACCTTAAAACATAACATTTACTTACCTTATCTGTCACGTAGTAACGACAACGGTAAATTAAGATATTCTCCCATAGTATAGTACAACGTCACGAAGTAGCAGTTAAAGTCGCTCCTGCACAATAGAATGGTGTCCAATAACAGATTAAAAAAAAAAATGTTTATTTGTTTTAACTGCTGCTAATCGTCCAACCATCTGTGTGTGATATGATTAAATCATTGGTGATTTCATGTTGGCTGGACACAATGACATTGGCAAACCTATACAGAAAACATGTCTTGTTTAAAAAGAGAGAAAATTAGATAAGTCAGCTGCTGTGGAGAAAACCGACAATATCACACAGATTCTTCAGACAAAATATTTCCTAAAACCGCTATTTTATAAATACAAATGTACGATTTCATTTGATATTTTATTTTATTTTAGTACACATTACAGTATAAATTAGACATTAAACCAAAGAAAAACAAATATAAAGATTAATATTTAAAGATTAAGATCATTTTAAAATTGTGCCTCTTCTTAAAGGTTTTACAGCTATTTCTCAGCTTGTTGCCAACACTATTGGATATTGTATTTATGAAATAGCAAAAGAATCAAGTCAACTCAGTTGTCCAAACTCTAAAGAAATCATTTATAAAGAAAGAAATTGCTAAATTAGCAGGTAACACACACACGCACACACAAAATGCGGCTACATTTAATAATAATACATGTGTGAAGTAAAATATAATTATTTTGTCAACAGCATAACCTGTAAACACAGTCTACTAGTTTCCACTACCAGTTTTTTACAAATTAACCCTGACACCTTGCTGGCTTAATGATTAACTGCATCATGGATTCAGACATTATTATTATAATGAGCTACAGAAATATTGCTGAAGATGAGCACTTTCAGATTACAGAAGACACAAAATCTTTATAACACCTGATTTTGGAACATCTGATAACGTACTATAGATTTATTTACTGATATCCAGTTTGACAGTCTCAAGTGTGTGTTGTGTATTTATTGTTGGTGTTCAAGAAATTTTATGTCTTTTGTTCAGCCAAACTACACATTTCAGGATTTCAGCAGCTGAATTTGAACCTTGAAAAATTATGTTTTTTTATGGTCTATCTGAGCTTTTCTCTGCTCTATGATCCTGACAGATGAACCTTTCCCAGTTAGAAATGCAGGGTAGAGGGGTTCAGTGAATGTGGTCTGGACTCTGTGTAGTAGAGTCATTGTGTCAGAGATCCTGTAGAAGCACAGAGTTCCTGCTCTGTGATCCAGATACACTCCTATTCTAGAGGAGCGGACAGCAGGTATATAGACTTCTTTATTATTATGTATGAAATGGGCATTCTGCTGATAGCGGGACAATCTCCATGATTTTTTGTTGGAGCCAAGTCTACAAGCATCACTTCTTCCTTTACGATCAATTCCTTTGTAACAAACTGCTACAGCCCAAATGTCCCCACAGCAATCAACCTCCCAGTAACAGCGACCGCACAAACCCTCTCTACACAAGATGTAATGAAACCCATCAAATCGCTCTGGATGATCAGGATATTGCTGGGCTTCATATAAACCCAATATTTTCCTGTTCTCTTCAGACAGTTTAAGTTCTTTGTGTGCAGTGTTTGGATCCATTTGAAGTTGACAGAAATCTGAGGAATAGGAATGGACATAAAACAGAAATATGAACTTTATTATTATTTTCTAAAATTCTCGTTTTGCTTTTTGATATTTACAAATTAATATGTGTGTTTGTGAAAAAAATAACTTGACTTACATTGCCAAAATGTATCTGGAGTCTTTGGCTCTGGAGTCTGTGCAACATGGACATTTGACACTGAGAAGACGAGAAGAAACACAATTGTACAGTCAATGTTTAGGTTTAATCCTACATAGTATGAATGCCACATTTTATATTCCAAGGAAAAGAAGAATTCAGACCTTCTCGAAAAATTCTGGCTGTTTGCTGTTGACAGACGTCCTCCAAAACCTCTCTGAATGCTGAGATTGAAATGTCTTTAAAAGACAGATGAGTGTGTTGAGAGAAGCTGGGAACGTCTTCATATGAGGGTAAAACACACACAGACTGACAGCTCTGAAATGAGAAAAATACATAGCTTGTAAAGCAATGGATACCTTTTGCTTCACATAAAGAGAGACAGAACAAACATGTATCCATGGTGATATGATGCCATATGGAGGGTTCTCACACACACATATGATCATAAAAAATATTTATTCACTTTTATTACCTTCAGACAGTGGATCTGATCATCAGTAATCAGAAGTTTCTCAATCGCAGAGGTTTCCCATGACTGAGGCAGATGTTCTCCTGAATGAATCTGGAGGCTTCGACTAGTTTGTGCTTCATAAACGCAGGAGATTGATAGTGAAGCTGCAGGTGAGTTTGACAGAAGGAGGCCAAGCACTGCAGACAGGACTTTACAGCTCTCTTCTTCTCTGTAGTGCAAACATCACACTCCACAGCAGCCGTTTGTAGAGACGTCTTCTGCAGCGTCTCCATCATCTCTGCTATCAGAGTGTTCTTCTTCAGTAGAGGTCTCTGACTGAAGCTCTCTCTGCATTGGGGACAGCGGTACGGCGGCTCCTGCTCCTTCTGGCCCCAGCAGTCAGTAATGCAGCTCATACAGTAACTGTGTCCACAGGGAATCGTCACCGGCTCCTTCAGCCGATCCAAACAGACTGAACAGATGAACTGATCCTCATACTGACTCGCTGCAGACTCGGCCATTTCTTTGCAGTCTTCTTAAAGATGAACAGATTCTCAGCCTCTATCCTGTAAAAAGGGCTGTTTTGTCAATAAAACATGTTATTTGTCATATATCTTTTGTCAGAATTCCAGTAAACAGCAATAGTAAAATGGATGGACAATCTATATGTACTCTGCCTAAAAAAAATACTTTATCTTTTACATTTTCTATATAGTTTTATTTCATTTTACTACATTTAGCTGATTTATTTCCATTCCAACCATACAATAGACAGGAGTGTAAAAGTTGAGAAAGTGAAAATATGGACACTCTATAAAGATTTGATCATTTTTAAGTCCAGGTACCTAACCAAGCATTTATTTGTGTGAAAAGTTTCCACAAATAATGGTAACAACCTTAATCGCTTTTTTTTTTTTAACTTTAAGAATAAATTCTGTTCTATGCTAATCAACAGCAGACATTTGCTGTCAATAAAACTTAGTTTGAATTTAGTCCAGAATAGTCGTGATCACCACAGAAATATGCAATTTTAATGAAACTATAGAGAATAAAAATATAGTTTTTGTAGTATAGCTTGTATAAAAATATTCCGTTTCAACAATACTTACGTTTTTTAACGAATACAGGGTACATGAATAGAAACGGGATTTCTTTTTAAAAGCAGACAACGTGACAAAGCCGTTACCATTGGGTCTTATCAAGTCCTTACCTACTTCAACAGACACACAACACTAATATTATCCGTTTTACAGCTTTGGCCCGAAGAACAGCTGCGTGGATCTATTGAGGTTGAAGCACCTGTGTTGTGGTAAATTAGGTTTTGTTTCTATTGAACTCAAATACTTCCTGGTTTTCTGTGCATAAACAAAATGGGTGTGTGCGCTGTGCCCCAAAGGAAAGAGCGAGAGAAATAATATCTACGAGAATATATAAAAATAGCCTAAATGTAATCTATTCAGAAATGTAATTATCCAATTCATAATTCAAAGCAAAAGCACTTAATAATAAAAACAATATAGCCTATGTCACCTTTTAAATCTATTAGTTACTATGGAGAAAAATGCTAAAAAGATGTGGTGATAATATAGCATAATGAGAGATTTACAATTTTTAAAATGCTGGTCATTGTTGTCTGGGAACACCAAAGTAAGTAAAGGATTTTTGGCACAGCAAAGCTGAAAGAATCAAAAACTCAAGATTTGTAACAATAGCAATACAAAGAGTTTATTACCCTAATGCAGATCTTCTCATTTTAAAATATCAATTAAAACATCTGTATGTCAATAGAATCCATAAAAGGAGGGAAAAGCTTTCATGAAAAAGGTCAGGCCTGCAAATGCACACTACCTCGTTTTGCCCCCTGTAGAGGACAGAGGAAGAGAAGAAAACAGAAAACCCACAGCAAGTACTTCCAAAAATGAGCAAAATGCTCTTAAAAACCTTTAATTACCATTACAGTGCAAACCTTCTCATACACACAGCCACCAAGCACACAATACATCCTACTAAAGCCACAAAGCACACTGTAACACAAACAGTAGAGCAATACCAAGCAAATAACAAAAAACAAAGATACAATGCAAACAGTATTCAGTTCAGTACAGGATCTATACCTAAGATAAACCAAACAAAAGAAAACTTAAAAGCACTTAAAAGCAATACCCCTTTAAAAAGAAACAATACCTTAATTGCCAGCCACACAACCCACATTATAATATTATAAATAAAAAAAATAACACATACTTTAGCCAATGCACAACTGCAGTAACCCACAGCTTCCAAATCTCAGCACTCGGCAGGCCTACAAACTCCCACACTATAGGTGCAGAGGAAATACTACAAACAAAAGAAAAGAGATTGTGACTTTTAATCTCACAATTCTGACTTTTTTCTTGCAATTCTGACTTTATATCTCGCAGTTCTGAGAAAAAAAAAGTTTGAATTGTGTGATTGTGTGCGTTTACCTTTTTTATTTTATATTCCATGGCAGGAAAAAAAACTGAATTGCAAGATGTAAACTCAGAATTCAGAGAAAAAAAGTCAGAATTG